CTTCCTTTTGTAAATAATCCAAACAGATTAAACATTTGAATTGCTGATTCTGTAAGCAATAACTATGGTAACCATGTTCGCATACAAGAACATTAACTGCATTGCAATAAATTGAATTGCATAAGGCTGAAATATTAGGTTTTCTTAATGTAACGAAACTTCTTGGAAGATAGTGATCTATTATTTCATAACCTAATAATAATAATTTATATGTGTTAATATCATCAGAAGAATGAATAATAAAAGAAATTTTGTTATACGTATAATATAATTTAGTAAACATCTCTAAAAGATATATGGCACATTTTTGGGAAAGCATCCGCAATTGTTTTGGCGAATAAGGATACTTTTCCGATCATACAAATTGTTGATGAAAATCATTATTACGGTGTTGTTGATAAATATTATGTGTTGTACTTTGTAATTGTTCTTCCGTCAAAAATTTAGAAGTATATCATCTAATAATACTATGAAATAATTTCACAGGACAATTGCTTAAAGAAGGAAGATGATTAATAATAATATCGACTATTGGATGGTTGGTTTCCATCCAATAAAAAATATCTAAAAGAACATCAATAGTGCACGCTTGTAATTTTTTCGATCAAATTGTAAAAAAAAGATTGCTCCAACAATGCATGCTAGCCTCCTCATAAGCTAGCCAGTTACCTTCTCAATGATGTATTGCGTAAATGTCCAAAACTAATGGAATTAAATTACTAAAAAGGTTAGTTAAATAAAAAAACTCTATATTTTTACATGTAAAGCTGAATTTTGAATAAACAAAATTGGCTACTTCAAACCATGCCAAATATACAATATAAAGAATTAAATCAATTCTCCATGGCCGTGGTTTCTTACCGAGATCCTTATGATTTCCAAAAACCTTTTTGTAAATATTATTAAACAAAAAGAAGTTTTTTTTAAAAACAAGTTCGCGGGTATTTAATGATATATGAAGAGGGCCTATCATAGATAAGAACACCGAAATGAATTCAGAAATATCTTGATTATTTAAAAGAATTTTTTGTGCTATGGCCTTACGAATATAGAATTGCCCAGGCCAGTTCGCAATGATAGGAACCATGAACTTGGAAAGATATTCCTGCATTGGCTCCTGTTTATAAATAGTTTGAAGAGAATCCAAATACCCATCAATTTCTTTTAAACTACATTCAGTAAAATCAAAAAGGATACAGTTTTTAATATGCCGTTCGCTTTTCTTTTCTGTTAATCTGTTGTCATAACTATGTAAAGTAAGTTTTTCCAATAATTCGATGTCAGAATATTCTGTTTTTATACAATTTTTTACATAATGATAAAGAACACCAAGATTTATAATGAAACACTTATCTATATATCTTGCGATTAATTCCCCATTGACAACTTTAGGATTTAGCACCTGATTACACAGTATAGCTAATATTAAGCATGGATTTGCTAATATTGTTGCCATATGAGCTGGTGAAGACATATTCATAGTATGAGGCTTATGTGGAACATGAATATTATGGTAATCATCGATATTAATTACAAGAGCATTGTTTAAATGCTCTATAAGATTATCTTTTACATATTCATTATGTGCTTCAGATATCTTTTTCTTTTTGCGATTTACCATCCTAGCCGTTGTTGATATACCAATATTCGCCATTGTATTTAGACCTTCATTACTCGTTCTCGCTGAATCTAAATAAAATGCATGATCTGATTTGAAAGCATTAATTTGGGTATTATTTAATGAAACAAGAAGATAACAAATGAACACCATAATTTTTTTCATACGCTCCATAGTTTGGCTGTTATGTTTCGACGGGCATGCTGCTAAATATAATTGATTAAAAAAGTAATTTAAATTAGAATCTTGCTCTTCAAGTAACTCCCGTAATTCATCAAAATTATAAATCGCTTTTGCTTTTCTTTGGCTTCTCTGTTATAAAGAATTTTGGCCATTGACCTTATGGCATCAACAAGCTCAAAATTATCACTTAGTACATTCATTTCTTCGGTTTTCTCTTCCGTAACGTCTATCTCAATTGTTTTTATTTCTTTATTAGTAAAGCTTTTTTTTCTTCTAAGAGAATTTGCCACATATTTCATATAACAAGGGTTACAAAACACTGTATTTTTAGTCCAGTTTTCTTTTACCAAACCTTTAAGCTAAATTTCTTGCCACTTTTCGTCACCTAACTGACGAAATTTCTTTGAATCAGTCTCCTTATATTCAAAGCATTTTTTGGCATCTGTCATCTTGAATAAAAAACTAACACTTTGGGATTCAAAGGGATTCAACGAATATTGTTTTCTACAATATGAAAGCTTCAAATTTTCTTAGTAACTTATTGGCACTTAGCTATTAGTGCAATCGAGTAATACAAGATGTTAAAAGTACTTTAAAATTATATAAAAAAATTTTTTTATGAATTGTGTAACGTTAAACAAGGATCTACATAGGGGGCACTGTCTCTGCTGAATAGTCATGTCGGCCATATTAAACGCTAATTACTTAAAAAGGCCATAAGTCATATCAACCCTCGTTATGACCAAATGTCCTATGATAGGTCATATAGGTCATTTAAGGTCATAGACCAACACTGCTTGAGAATACCCTAAGACCATCAATTTTTTTTAATAGAGTTGTTTTGATTGGTTAAATTTTAAATGCCGTATTTCGCGCAGAATCGTTATAAGGGTTACTTCAATTAATGAGCAACATCTCGATCATTATCAAATTATCCTAAGAGAGCTGCTTGAGAATACCATTAATTATTTAGTACAATATAAAACATGGATTATCTAGTTCACGCCGTTTTTCTTCTTTCAATAAACAAATCATCAAAGTCAATCTTTTTGGAAGAGAATTAAAAGTAAAATTCACAAGATTCTCCAATTCTATTGACTTTCTTGATGATTCGTTTTTGCAAGATCAGAAAATAATAAATTTCTATATAGTATTACGTCTGTTGATCTTGGTACTTTTTGAAAGTTTCGTTGAGTTTGTCAAGTTTGTAATATTATTTTATTGTTTTGAAGAAATTATATATTATATTGTTATCAGTATTGATACATTTATCACATTATTTTACCTGCTCTCCTAAAAGTGTTATGGCGTAATTTAAATTCAAAACAAGATAATAAAATTTGGTCCGGGAATACTTTTAATTTAATAGCGATTGTGGTTTCATTAGTAGAATTTTTGGGGTGAAGTTATAATTAGCGATGGAAATTTCTAGTTATTAATTATGAATTGTTAATGATTAAGAATTAAAATTTAATTAATGAATTACCCAATATCGATATGCAGAGAACATCTTCGTAGAAAATGATCCAATCGATAGTTTTTTTAAAATTTGCAGATTTTCTATAAAATCATTGATCACATCAATTAAAAGCTGTAGTGGAAGATTCTATCGCGAACATATTTTACAGGAATTAATTTTTTATCGCTACAAAATCATTTTTATATTAAAGTACATAAAAAATATCGGAAAATATGTTTTAATTCACTGATTTACACATTCTATCGATACTTTCCATGCATTTTGGATACTTTAATTATTAATTGAAATTATTTATTAATTTAACAATCTTTTAACAATTAAAAGTAGAAATTCCCAATGCTAGTCACAGTATCAAAAAACTCCATATGCAGTTACACGCATATATTGTCGATACGAACCATATCCTATTATTTGGCGCATATATGACGCAACGCTACGTGCGTACGTACGTACGTACGTACCAGTACGTACGTAATTTCAGCAGCATGCAACTAAGTACCATAAAGGGTCATATACAAGGTCCGGGTCTCTTACATTTAAAACCTATAATAAACTCCAAATCTAGTATACGACTGAGAGTTTATATCATTAAGAGAAAGATTTTGAAGAGTATGCACTTTTGCATTTATAGTAGGCAGTATAGAAATTTGAAAAAAAAACCACGATCAGATTTGATTAATCTAGATCCCGTAGTTCGCGCCCGGGCCTAATTCATGGGGGACTGATCTTTTACGTATGTGATCTTTTACAGTAAATATTATTCCTGTCCCTATGCATGGAAATTGAGAATTCTAGGTGATGTAACCGAAACTAGTTTGGGTAACCAAATAAAATGACATCATAAAACTTAAATTGGGTAATTTTGAACCCAGATCAATCTTATATTTATGACGTAATAACATTTTGATCTCCCAAATCCTGATCGTAAAAACAATCATTGTCAATTTTGCTCCAAAAAAGGTTTGGGCTATACTATTCTAAAGAAATTCATTTTCAATATGTTACTATACTGTATAGTTTATGCATTGTCTCTATATAATAAGATCGAAATTCTAAACGTCTTGTATTCTCACTCCTACATATCGATATCTTTTTCAAATTATATCTTATCGTTATTTCTAAAACACAATAGCATATTGGACTTAGTTTATCATGTAGAACATGACAAGGTGTTCAAAAGAATGGCTTGATAAAAAACATATCAAGCTATATGATTACAGTGAATTTTCTGGACTTAAAGAAGTTGGTAGGGGAGGTTATGGAATTGTATGTAAAACAGTATGTAAAACAGCTGTTAAAAGGTTAGACTCGACAGTTGCGATTAAAAGACTGATTGTTGAAAAGAACGATGAAAAGACTATTCAAAAGTTTGTTAAAGAGGTAAGATTTCAACATTATGGATTCATGAAATTGGATCTTCATCTAAACGCTAAATTGTATTTATAAATCGGAGAGAACTTTATTAATACTTACAAATTGATATTTATTTTCAGATTGAGATTTTACGAAAAGTCTGGAAGCATCCAAATATCGTTAGATTTTATGGGATTGTTCAAGGTTAGTAATAACAATTAAATTCGCGAATTCCAATAACTAATGTATCAATATATATATACATAACAGAAACATTAGATGGACACTATTATATGGTTTTACAATTCGCGAACAATGGGAATTTGCGTCAATATATAAACGTCCTTTTTTCAAAACTTAAATGGTCTCGTAAACTACAAATGGCCCTTGAAATATCTAAAGGCATTGCATTTTTACATCAAAAAGATATTATCCATCGAGATCTCGTAAGTAATAGTAGTGTATTTGATTATCTGTTATCTTAATGGACATCGTTCCATTTATATAAAACAATATGATAGAAATTTTAATAAATAATGTCGGGGATGATGCTGAAATCGGATGATGCTGAAATTCACGTGATCACATGATGATCTTCCGTATAAACGAAC